GACCTCTGGGGGGGGGGGGCATCACATCCAAACACTTTAAGATGTCACTGATTTAAGCAGGCCAGATAAAAAAACCCAACCCAAAAGGAGAAGTACCACAATTTTCACCCCCTCAATTCAGCAGTTTCTCTGATGGGAAACTTTCCACCCCCCCTCCCCGTGAATCCCTCAGGGCCAACCCATGGCTGAGGCGGAATGACTGGGAGAATCCCCAGATCCCGGGACATGATCCCATTCAAGGCCTTGGCTTCCATTTTTGCCCCTCAAAACCCTTCAAAATAATAATGGTATCTCTTACAGGTCTCCAAAGGGAAGGTGGAATTGCTGGCTGGAGAATAAGAAATGCTTTTATTTAATTTATTCAATTTATATATTATTTAATTGTATAGAATGGGAAAATAAATGTCTTCCCACTTAATACCCCCACACACAACCTTGAAGCACAAATCGGTGCCTACCACTCAAAGGCCAAATGTCCATTCAAAATAGAAAGTGGCAAAAGGGTTTCAGTTTTCTGGTTCCCATTTAGGTCCTTTGATGTAAAGGAAGAAGATATTGTTGACTGAAGCACTATCAATGCTGCATGGATTATCTCCACAGATGTAAAACTGTATAATTAGGAAAATTCTAAAAAATGCCAAGATTTTAGAATGTGGAATGTTCCCACATTTTATAGGCTACAATTTCTTTTCATAGAGAAATCTACCTTGCTAATGCTTTTGTCATTCCATGATTTTCTATGCATCATTGTGCAACGTGAAACTAAATCAGATCTGAATTCATTCCACCTCCTACCACTTTGTAATTTTTTATTACACACATACACCCCCCCGATAGGTTCTATGTATTCATCTGTTTTCTTCGTTTAGTTTTTTTGTTCAATGTGTATTAAGTAGGGCATCATTTACAATGTGCCACAATTGTTTCCAATAATTTATTAGCCTTTCAAAATTAGAAACCTTGTTAATAATCAGGAAATATGTTTTTTGAAAAGCTGTATTAAGATAAAAAGCAGAAAGTCACATTCATGCTAGTAACAGTTTTCTCCAAAACCATAGAAATGCTAGGGTCCCCTAACGTGTCAAGTATGATTGACCTTTCTGATCAACTTGGCAGCACAAAATGAAATCGAGGGACTAAAGTGACATGTAAAAACCTTGAGAAATAGAAAATACAGTACAGATTAATCTGAGAAACTAAACAATGAATAATTTAAATCAAGCAATTTAAGTCTTTTAAAAAAACATTGCTCATATAGTACACTGTTGGATCAATAAAGCCATTTATAAAGTCCCTTTCAGCTGGGTTAATGCAATTTTGCACCACACTAGACCATACATATAAACATTTGGGAGACATTTTCACTTGTAAACCAAACTTGTACCCATACAGTATATGAAGAAAAAAGCTTAACACCTTACTACTGTCATGGTTCCAACAGACAAAGAGGAATAAAGCAGAACTCTGAGCCGTGCAATTTCCTCAAAAAACATGTTTATTGTTACAGACTACCCTCGTCAAAAGTGAAACCAACAGTAAAGTTCCCTCCAAAAAGTTACATTATTACGAAGTTAAAGTTCCCGCCCAGTACTATGCAATCAACTACATTTCCCAATAGAATAGTTTGGCGGGCTTTCTTATACTACACCCAATCCCCAATTGCGGGAGCAATAGATGACCTTGATTCCCATGGGACATCTGATTGTTTTGACTAGCAAAACATCTGGACAAGCCCCCCCTTCCTCCATTCCATGTGGCAACTTCAAACGAGGGGGGAAATGTCTGCAGTCAGGCTCATTTGCAAAGTTGACAGCTATATGTTTAAAGAAAGCCAGTATTTTTAACCCAATTGGAACAAAAATGAACACAGAGAGAAACACTTTCCCTTCTTTGGCTTGCATACACTAGAGCTTCACAAAGCCTGGAGGCTGATCTCAGACTCACTTCAGATGTTGCTTCTGCCTAAATAAAGCAGCTTGACCAAGCAGAGGTTTTGGAGTAATAAGAGGAGCAATTGTTTTACAGGTTTTCTTGAGAAAATTAATCAATTGGTTAATACCTCTGGAATTAATAACTATCCTGGCAGCTTTCCAAAATCCAAATACATTTATTCACTGCTCCTATGGCAATCCTCTGAAAGAAGGAAGAGTGTTCTCTACATTTTTACCCAATGTTATTCTTTTTACACTCCATATTTTTAGATGGTTTCACATCATAGTGGATCCTTTTATGCAAATTAAGGACACTTCAGTCCCTAAAGCAGAGTTCGGGGAGCAAGGGGAGGGGGGAAAGGGATGGTTTTGTGGGGGGATGAACACTGGGTGTACATGCACACAAACACCCACTGCTTTTCTGAGTGCGGTTGTGAGTGCCCGAGATGACATTCATGAAAGTGGGGTACCAAATGCCTGCAATGCTTGTGATGACATTTGTGCGACTGGTGCGGCAAACACCTACAAAGCTCGTGACAAGGCTTGCGTGAGCGTGGCCACATATGCAATTTCTTACGTTTGTGGGAATTAATGTGGTAAGTAAGGGAGCTGCTTGAACTCAAACTTTTCCCACATTCATTGCATACATACAATTTCTCTCCCGTGTGGGTCCTTTTATGGTAAGTCAGAGAGCCACTGCCAGCAAAGGTCTTTCCACAGTCTGTGCATTTATAAGGTTTTTCCCCTGTATGGATCCTGTGATGGAAAGTAAGTTGACAGCTTTGGCTGAAGCTCTTCCCACACTCAATACATTTATAGGGTTTCTCTCCTGTGTGGATCCTTACATGAGAGGTAAGAGAACTCTTTACATTGAACTTCTTTCCACACTCTAGGCATGTATAGGGTTTCTCTCCCGTGTGGACCCGTAAATGAGAAGTAAGAGAACTCTTTACACTGAAGCTATTCCCACACTCCAGGCATTTATAGGGTTTTTCTCCTGTGTGGACCCGTTTATGAGAAGCAAGGGTAGAGCTTTGTGTGAAGCCCTTCCCACAGTCTATGCATTTATAGGGTTTTTCTCCTGTGTGGACCCGTAAATGAGAAGTAAGAGAACTCTTTACACTGAAGCTCTTCCCACACTCCAGGCATTTATAGGGTTTCTCTCCTGTGTGGATCCGTTTATGGGAAGCAAGGCAACTGTGTGTCCTGAAGGGTTTTCCACATTTCGTGCATTTATAAGGTTTTTGGCCTGAATGGATCCTTTTGTGGGAGCTCAGTTGATTACTAGTTCTGTAGCTCTCTCCACACTCAATACACTTATAGGGTTTCTCTCCCGTATGAATACTTTTATGGCAAGCAAGGCCACTACTTTGGCTAAAGCTCTTCCCACACTCTATGCATTTATCGCGTTTTTCTCCCGTATGGATCCTGCTATGGGAAGTAAAGGAACTCTTCACACTGAACCTTTTATCACAGTCCACACATTTATAAGGTTTTTCCCCTGTATGGATCCTTTTGTGGTATTTCAGACAATCTCTGGTCTGGAACCTCTTTCTACACTTCATGCATTTGTAAGGTTTCTCTCCAGTGTGGATCATTTCATGAGAAGTAAGAGAAGTCTTTATAGCGAAGCTCTTCCCACACTCCATGCATTTATAGGTTTTCTCTCCCGTGTGGATCCGTTTATGGAGGTTCAGGTAATTGCTGTTTTTGTAACTCTTTCCACACTCCAGGCATTTAAAGGGTTTTTCTCCCGTGTGGACCCGTTTATGAGAAGCAAGGGTAGAGCTTTGCCTGAAGCCCTTCCCACATTCTATGCATTTAAAGGGTTTTTCTCCCGTATGGATCAATTTATGCGTAGTAAAAGCAGTGCTCGTCCTGAAGGTTTTTCCACAGTCTACACATTTATAGGGTTTTTCCCCTGAATGGATCCTTTTGTGGCATATCAGGTAACTACTAGTGCTGAAGCTCTTCCCACACTGTAGGCATTTAAAGGGTTTTTCTCCTGTATGGATCCGTTTATGAGAAGTAAGAGAACACTTTACACGAAAGCTCTTTCCACACTCCATGCATTTATATGGTTTCTCTCCTGTATGGATCCTTTTATGGGAAGCAAGGACACCACTTTGCCTAAAGCTCTTCCCACACTCTATGCATTTAAAGGGTTTCTCTCCCGCATGGATCAATTTATGGTTAGTAAACGAACTGTTCATCCTGAAGGTTTTTCCACAGTCTACACATTTATAGGGTTTTTCCCCTGAATGGATCCTTTTATGGCATATCAGGTAACTACTAGTGCTGAAGCTCTTCCCACACTGTAGGCATTTAAAGCGTTTTTCTCCAGTATGGATCCTTCTATGGGAAGTAAAGGAACTCTTTACACTGAACCTTTTACCACAGTCCACACATTTATAAGGCTTTTCCCCTGTATGGATCCTTTTATGGGATTTGACACACTCCATGTTCCTGAAGCTCTTTGCACACTCTAGGCATTCATAGTGTTTTTCTCTGGTGTGGATTCCTTTATGAGAAGTAAAGGAACTGTTTGAACTGATTTTTTTCCCACAGACCGTGCACTTATAGGGCTTTCCCCCTGACTGTATTCTTTTATGGGAAGTTAAATTACCTCTCCACCGAAAGCCTTTTCCACAGTCCACACCTCTGTAGGGCTTCTCCCTTGCCTGGGACATTATATGGGGAGTAAGTTTATTACTGCTGAATCTCTTTCCAGTTTTGCAGTGGTTACTAAAATTGGGGTTTGCTTTGAATCTTTTTCTACTTCGATATTTCCCTGTATTTTCTTTGGAGTCACCTTTCGTCAGCAAGCAATCGATTTCCACACGTTCAAGAATAGATTTTTCTCTCCAAGTATTCTTCTTTTCATGTTTCCTCCTCTCCCATTGATTTGTAGGTGTCTCTTCAGGTATTTCAGTTTGGACGATTTGCAATTGCATTAAATTTGGCTCTTGGTGATTTTCCTTCTGCGTATCTAATGCTTGAGGGGGAAGAAAAATAAATTAGAATAATATACAACATACAGTTTTCTGTCCCAATGCATAGATTTATCTATTACTGGGCATCTGCAGAGAAAGAAACGGGAGAAATGACAGTATGAATATTAGTTATTAACTTAAAAAACTAGCATGGCTGCTCATCTAACCCTCATTCTTGGCAGTTAAAAATTTAAAGCAAGAACAGGTCTTGACATCAGGACATCGCACACATATTGTCTCACATATGATGCACCTAAGTTACAATCAATAAAACAACATATGTCATTGCAACATGAAGCAAGACAAAATTTGTTCCCGATTAGGACAACTGCAATAGGCAAAAACATCCTCTCCCAATAGCTCTGCAGTGATGACACAGGGCCCAGGATGACCACAAGACCGAATGTCAACCCTTGTCAGAATGACTGATCGCCCCACTGATCTCTTTCTTCTCAATGAAATTGTGCTACTTAGAAGACCATGAAAGCGGATTGGAATTAACGTAAGAGGACAAAAGAAAAGATGAAATCATTTTTAACAAGATACGTATAGATGTAAGTTGTGACTAAAATGTCTAGTGACCCCTTGGTCTGACATAATTTTCCTCCAGAGGAACCCTTACCTAAAGAGGCCACGATCCCTGAAATTTCCAACATGACTTCTCGATGTAGGGCTTTCTTGCTGGGATCCAGCAGCGACCACTCTTCGCCACTGAAATGGACGGCCACCTCCTCAAAGGACACACGACCCTGAACAAGGAAGAATCCCTGTGAGCAGATTCGATAGAATTTGCGAGATCTCCTTTCATCCGCAAATACTAAAAGCACAAACTGAAAATTCCTCAATGGACATTTCCCTAGCCGGACTCAATACATTACATGCTAAAATGGGCAAAATTCACAGCCTTCAGCTGACAGCCAATTAAGGCATAACTGACTCTGCTGACCTTCAGTGTCACCAACCTGCCTTGATCAAATGGCAGAGTGTGCGTGAGACGCACCATCTACCGATGGCTCCACCATTTCATGATGTTTGCAAGAGATTCTGTGGGATTTCTGCCTGACATGGTAACTAAATCGTCTTTGTGGTTCTTTGAAGGATCAACCTTGCTTTCACTCGTGAACATTCATGAAAATACAAGGAAGGTACTTCTGGCCATCAAGATGCAGATGATACACAAAGCAGTTTCTGCTCCTCCTGTTTTTATCCCTTTCCCCAATGAAACCAGAATGATATAACCACTAAGGAATTCCATACATTTTTAAATCTTAAATATTGAGAGGTAGGCTTGGTTTGACTGATCATGAATTTAGATTTCTAATTTTCTTGTTGTGTTTTGCTTAGGAATAGCAATATCGTATGTTGAGTCCCCAAAGGAAACTAGAGGTTCCCTACTGCTCCCCCATATTAGTTGCTGATCTATTCCTTCCTACCTGAGTTGGGAATCCTGCAGCTCTTTCAGCACCACTAATAGACGGAGATGATTCAGTTAACGGTGACTCCATTTCATCCACTAGGAAGGAGAGAGAGACAGGATGGAAACAGGAAAGGCTGCAACTTCATCTTTTCTAGCTTGAAGGCACAACTGAAGATTTCTTCCTGTCCTGCCCAGGAAATCTCCATTGGTCTCTTCTACACTCTGCCTTCGGTGGCCTTTCATAGGCTCCATCGTGGGAGCCAAGAACAAAAGGAGAAGACCAAACCCCACCACACATTGAAGAACAAACCTCAATTTGATTGTTCTCCTGGCCTTCTGGAACAACATATGGAAGTACATTCTTGGCAACCAAAGCATTTACGCAATCACTACAAATTCTCTCCCTCCCCCCAATTCCCTGCAGCTTAAAACCATCATGGAAGAGCAATTCATGAAATTCTAGCAACCCAGCCTGCAAGGACAGCTGGAAATGGTCCAGCAGGGATCTGTGTAGGAATTGAGTTGAAATTATCTCTTGAGGAAGGCCAAAAAACTGGTTGCTGTCTTCCGCATCTTTGAGAACAAAGAGAAATCTTTCATGATGGAGGAGCCAGACTACAACTCAAGGTGGTCCCTAGAAAAGTGGGTCTTCTGCAAAAGGGAAGCCATAGGGTGGCTCTTAAGGATGGGAATTCCTTTGTGCGCCTTAGGTCTTCTAGCTTGAAGAGGGAGTTATAGCTTTTTTATTGGGTTACCTTTTACTAAATCCAATAACCAAGACATGAGAAGACAAAGAGAATTAACGATCACGAGACTCTTTCCAGAAAATCTCCAATCTAGCGGAACGGTCTTCCCTTACCTAGTGAGGTTTCCTGACGTTGACTTTTCTCCTTGGGGATCCCTCTGAAAGACAGATCACGAGAAAGATTTGTGGAATCCACCCAATTAGTCCCCATTCCTGAAAGGACCTCAGAACCTGAAATAGAAGCAAAGGAGAGGGCTGAAGAGGATGGTACATGAGAGGATCTGGATTTTATGTTCTTTCCACAAGGTGGCTAAACCCTCGTGTCCATCATTGGGGATGGATGAGGCCAATGGGAGAATTGCTCCAAATGAGATACTCTTTGGAAGAACGCCAGAACAATTACTTTAATGAGGTTCTCTAAATTATCTACTTGCATTATCAACCACCCAAAACTCTCTCAAGAAGGTATTTAAGAATTGAGGCACAGAAAGATCCCTTCATAATTCCCAAAAGAAGCATCTCTGACCTGGGGCCCTTCCTGAGCAGGGGGTCGGACTAGAAGACCTCCAAGGTCCCTTTCATTCTATTCCTGCTTCTTCTCCTCTGCCACGCTCACCAGGAACCTCTCAGCCACTGGCACCGTCCGGCAACTGGTCTCCGCTGGCTCTCCGGAGATCCTTCCCGTCTTGGAAGCAGAACCTGAAGGAGACTTGAGCAAGTGGTCCCTTTAGGCTCCTTCTCCCCTCCCCCCCCTCAACTTTGTCCCCTCCCCCGTTGATGGATCTCGTGCATGCACAGCCTGGAGCAGTTATGGGGCGGATTCCCCGCTCCCTCCAAGCCTCGGGATTCGGAATATGTTTCTCCTCCCCTGGGGAGGATCTGAGTCGCGGGACCCCCCCTTGCCCACCCCCCTCCCCCAGATTCCCGAGGAAGAACTCACAGGCGGCAATCTCCCGACCACGCAGACGGAGTCGAGCATGCGCTGTGGCATACATTCAGTCTGCAGCCCAGAGAGCGCCGCCTGCTGGGAGCTGCGGTGAAATCACGGCCGTGGGAGCAGACTTGGAGGCTATCAAGCCCAACCTCTATTCGGCGCCGGATCCGCCCTGGAGGACGAGCTTTGCCATTTAGCTTCCGGTAAATGCCATGGGGAGATAATAGGCCTCCCTTTGTCCTTGCGCTAATGGCGATTTGCAGAAAGTCACCTGGAGGGGATGCCGGTTCTGTCCTTTTGGGAGCCGATCGATTCTCTATTCCACACGTCCCTGCCGCACTGTCTTCCTCTACTTTTCTCCCTTTCTTTCCCACTCCGTCTTCCTCCGCCTCTCTCTCCTTCTCTCTCTCTCTCTCTCCTTCTGTCTGTCTATCTCTCCCTCGCTAGCTCTTTCTGTTCCTCCCTCCCTCTCTCCCTCCCTTTCCCATTCTCTCCCTCCATCTCCCCCCACTCTCTCTGTGACTATGTTTATATGTGTGTGTGTTTCTCTCTGTCTGTCTGTCTCTCTCTCACACACACACAAAAAGCAAACAAACGTTCTGGCAGAACTTGACAACTGGTGCTGCTTTTAGTATATTTTGAGAGCTTGACGCCTGCTGATATTTTCCCAAGAAATGGGAATGCAGACTCAGTCATGGATCAATCGAGCTTCAGTATTTATATAATTTGTAATAATTATGTTATTAAGGGGCGTGAGAAAAATGCGGAGGGGAAAAGGACAGCCACTGCCTAGAAGACAGAAATAATATAAGAATCAGAATCACCCCAGTTCCAAGGTCCCCTCCAGCGGTGGCTGCACATAATGTGGGTAAGACTCCCCGCCCCCCAGTCTCGGTTCTTCAGTTTCTGCTCCAAAGGCTTATGGAGACACCCAGTCATCCAGCTATGGTTGACCCAAAAGTGCTTTTCCAGGAGGCAACTGGCCTTTCTTCTTCTTTTTCCCTTTGAAGACGTTTCGCTTCTCATCCAAGAAGCTTCTTCAGCTCTGACTACTCCCCACCATCCAGTCAGAGCTAAAGAAGCTTCTTGGACGAGAAGTGAAAAGTCTTCAAAGAAAAACAAGAAAGTCCAGTTGCCTCCTGAAAAAAAGCACCTCTGGGGCTCCAAAGGCTTTCTCCAATAGGGAGAAATCATGACAGATTCTGCCCGGAGACAGATGACTCAAGAAAAGGGAGGATTCCTATTGGCGCAACATATTCCTGCAAGGCCAACTCCTAAGAATCCCTGTCAAGACCCCGCCCCTCCCTATTCCACTTCTCTCTTGGGAGGAAGCTTGTGGGAAGCTTCCATGGGCTCTGCTGGGGTCCCCCTGTTGCTGCTGGTGGGTCAGCTTGCGAGGATCCCTGGAAAGAGGAAGGAGACACTCCCCCAGAAGAGGAAGAAGGGGGGCTGGGACCTCGAGAAGAGGCGTTGGGGGAAAGGCTGCAGGGCAAGGGAGACGGGACCTTGCAAGGCTCCTCCCTTCCCCCCGCCTCCCTTCTGGCCACGCCCCTCCCGGTGCGATTCCCTCAGGCGGCGAGGCGAGAAAAGCCGTTGAGAGAAAGAGCCGCGGATCTGAGGGAAGAGCCGCCTTCGGGCTTCTTCGGGGCTCTTCACAGACGGTCTCGACTTCTTTTTCTCCGTCGGACTCTGGATGATGCCTCCTTCTGGGCCCCTCCTCTCCTTCAGGGCCCCCCTCCACCCCCACACAGCATCCCCCTCAAGAGGACTGGGCCCCCCGGGGAGATCTTGGGGAAATGGCTGCACGGCGAGAGGTTGCAAGACCTCCCCTCCCCCTTCTGGGCACGCCCCTCCCAATGCGATTCCCTCAGGCGGGAAAGACCGTTGAGAGAAAAAGAGACGCGGCTATGAGGGAAGCGCCGCCATCGGGCTTCTGCGGGGCGCCTCAGAGACGGCCTCGAGTTCTCTTTCCTGGTCGGACTCTGGATTAGGCCTCCTTCTGGGCCCCTCCTCTGCCTCAGGAGTCCCTGCAGAATCTTTTTCCAGCCTCCTCGTGACTCTTGGGCCCATTATGTCCAAAGGTGTTGAAGTGTCTCCGATTCAGGCAGCCCCCCAACTCATAAAGGAGCAGGGCCACACTTGGGGGGAAGCCCCATTGATGGTGGGGGCCCGGGGGGAGAAAGAGACTGCGACCACTCTCCCGGAGAGACGTTAGGGAAAAGGCTGAGGGCGGGGCAGGATGTTGCAAGACCCCTCCCCTTCTGACCACACCCCTCCCAGGGAAGCAGGAAAAGGCAGTCCTTGGAGGGGTGGGAGGAACCTCTTTGCTGGCTGGGGGGGAGGGGAAAGTGGTCCCCTTAGGGCAGTGGTTCTCAACATGTGGGTCGGGACCCCATTTGGGGTCGATCGACCATTTCACGGGGGTCGCCAAGCAAGGATGTCCACCATTTTTTTTCTCCACCATTTTTCCCCTTTTCTAGCAGGTGCCTTACCTCCTTTGGGCTGGGCCAGCTGGTGGTCAGCCTGCTCCATCTCTGCCGCTTGCCAGCTACGCCTCGGCCGGCGCAGGGGACAGAACCACGCATGCGTGGCGCTCCTGGGCAGGGAAAGTCCTCGACTTACGACCAGCTGGGTAGTCCTCGACTTACGACCGGTTTAGTCCTCGACTTACGACCGGTTTAGTCCTCGACTTACGACCGGCTGGGGTCACGGCATTAAAAAGGTTGAGAACCACTGCCTTAGGGAAGCACCACCATTGAGGGTCTGGGGCTCCCAAGGATGGACCTGACTCCTTTCAGTCTGACTCCTAATTAGGCCTTCCTCTCTTCTCTCTCATGGGCCCCCTCTAGCCCCCTCAAATCTCGGGGAGGAGGTGCCATCACATCCAAACACTTTAAAGTGTCCCTGATTTAGGCAGGCGGGATTAAAAAAAAAACCAACCCAAAAGTAGCACAATTGCCCCCCTTCAATTAAGCAGTTTCTCTGATGGGAAACGCCCTGCCCCAGGTGAATCCCTCAGGGTGACCCCAAGGCTGAGGCAAGAAGACTGGGAGGATCCCCAGATCCCAGGATATGATCCCCTTCAAGGCCTTGGCTTCCATTTGCCCCCAAAACCCTTCAAAATAATAATGGTATCTCTTACAGGACTTTCTTTTCAAAGGGAAGGTGGAATTGCTGGCTGGAGAATACTTTGAATTAATGTATACAATTAATATATTATTTAATTGCATAGAATGGGAAGATAAATGTCTTCCCACTTAATACCCAGACATACACAGCCCACTCCTTGAACCACAAATCCTTGTCTGCCACTCAAAGGCCAAATGTACATTCAGACTGTAGAAAGCTGCAAAAGGGTTTCAATTGTCTGATTCCCCTTTAGGTCCTGTGACATAAGGGAAGAAGATATAGTTGGCTGAAGCACTATCAATACTGCATGCATTATCTCCACAGATGTAAAATTATATAATTAGGAAAATTCTAAAAAAAAGGCCAAGATTTTAGAATGAGGAATGTTCCCACATTTCTAACTTTTTATTACACACACACCATCCCCCAAGTTCATCTACATCATAATAATGATGATGATAATAAAGTTGGAAGGGACCTTGGAGGTCATCTAGTCCAACCCCCTGCTCAGGCAGGAAACCCTATACAATTTCGGACAAATGGCTGTCCAGTCTCTTCTTCAAAACTTCCAGTGTTGGAACATTCACAACTTCTGGAGTCGGGTTGTTCCACTGGTTAATTGTTCTAACTGTCAGGAAGTTTCTCCTTAGTTCTAGGTTGCTTCTCTCCTTGATTAGTTTCCATCCGTTGCTTCTTGTCCTGCCTTCAGGCGCCTTGGAAAATAGCTTGACTCCCTCTTCTTTGTGGCTGCCCCTGAGATATTGGAAGTTTCTCCTTAGTTCTAGGTTGCTTCTTCCTTTCGTTAGTTTCCATCCGTTGCTTCTTGTCCTACCCTCAGGCGCTTTGGAAAATAGCTTTACTCCCTCTTCTTTGTGGCAGCCCTTGAGATATTGGAACACTGCTATCATGTCCCCCCTCGTTTTTCTGTTCATTAAATTAGACATACCCAATTCCAGCAACTGTTCCTTATACGTGTTAGCCTCCAGTCCCCTAATCATCTTTGTTGCTCTTCTCTGTACTCTTTCTAGAATCTCAACATCTTTTTTACATCGTGGTGACCAAAACTGGATGCAGTATTCCAAGTGTGGCCTTTGTTCAACATGTATTAAGTAGGGCATCATTTACATTGTGCCACAACTGTTTCCAATAATTTATTAACCTATCAAAATTAGAAAGGTTGTTAATAATCAGGAAATACGCTTTTAAAAAGCTATATTAAGATAAAAAGCACAAAGTCACATTCCTGCTAGTAAGAGTATTCTCCAAAACCATAGAAATGCTACAGTTCCATAATGTGTCAAGTATGATTGACATTTCTGATCAAATTGGCATCACAAAATGAAAGAGGCACTAAAGTGACATTTGAACATCATGAGAAATAGAAAATATGGTACGATTACTTTAATCTGAGAAACTGAACAATTAATAATTTAAATCAAGCAATTTAAGTCTTTTTTTAAAAAAAATAACATTGCTCATATGGTACACTGTTGGATCAATAAAACCATTTATAAAGTCCCTTTTAGACAGGTTAATGCAATTTTGCACCAGACTGAACTGTACATCTAAACATTTGGGAGACATTTTTACTTGTAAGCCAAACTTGTATATACATAGTATATGAAGGGGAAAAAAGCTTAAAATTCCTTGCTACATGATTAATGGCCAGTATTTTCAACACAATTAGAGCTAAAATGAATATACACACATACATTTCCCCTTGCTTTGCTTGCATACACCAGCTCTTCACAAACCCTGGAGGCTGATCCCAGACTCGCTTTAGATGTTGCTTCTACCTAAATAAAGCAGCTTGACCAAGCAGAAGTTTTGGAGTAATGAGAGGGGCAATTGTTTAACAGATTTTCTTGAACGGGACCTTACCTTTGACTAGATAATACCTCTGGAATTAAGAATTCTATTCTGGGACCTTTCCAAAATCCAAATATATTTATTCAGCTGCTTCTACAGCAATGGCCTGAAAGAAGGAAGACTGTTCTCCACAATTTTCCACATGTTATTCTTTTTACACTCCCATATCTTTAGATGGTTTGATATCCCTCCCGTCTTGTATGTATCCATGAGGTGGATCATATTAATATAGGAAATAAGTTGATTGCTTTCCATTGGATAATTTTCCGCCTTCTGTGGATTCTTTTTTGAGAAGCATCCTGTTTTCACCAAAAATTCTTCCGCATTGCAAATATTTCTCTCCTGTGTGGATCTACGGTGGGAACTACGGTGGGAACTACGGTGTTTTTTTAATCTGAAGCTCTTCCAACATTCTGTGCACTGATGCAGTTTCTTCCATGTGTGGGAACTAATGTGGTAAGTAAGGGAGCTGCTTGAACTCAAACTCTTCCCACATTCATTGGATACATACAATTTCCCATGTGGGTCCTATTATGGGAAGTAAGTGCACGGTTCTCACTGAAGCTCTTTCCACATTCAAGGCATTTATACAGTTTCTCTCCTGTGTGGGTCCTTTCATGAGAAGTCAGAGATGTTTTTATAGGGAAGCTCTTTCCACATTCCAGGCACGTATATGGTTTCTCTCCCGTATGGATTCTTTTATGGTAGGTCAGGTGACTGCTGGTTTTGAAGCTCTTTTCACACTCCGTGCATTTATAGGGGTTTTCTCCTGTGTGTAACCGTTTATGAGAAGTAAGAGAACTCTTTACACTGAATTCTTTCCACACTGCAGGCATTTATACAGTTTTTCTCTGTGTCCGTTTATGGTAAGCAAGGGAACTGCATGTCCTGAAGGGTTTTCCACACTCTGTCCATTTATAAGGTTTTTCACCTGAATGGATCCTTTACTGGGAGGTCAGTTGATCACTATTTCTGTAGCATTCTCCACATTCAATACACTTATAGGGTTTCTCTCCCATATGGATCCTTTTATGGGAAGAAAGGCCACCACTTTGCCTAAAGCTCTTCCCGCACTCTATGCATTTATGGGGTTTCTCTCCCATATGGATCCTTTTATGGCAGTGGTTCTCAACCTGTGGGTCGGGACCCCATTTGGGGTCGATCGACCATTTCACGGGGGTCGCCAAGCAAGGCTGTCCACCATTTTTTTTGTCCGCCATTTTTTCCCCTTTTCCGGCGGGTGCCTTACCTCCCTTGGGCTGGGCCAGCTGG